GATGAAAGCTGCAAAGCAGTCATCAGTAAATAAATAAAGAAATAATATACACCTCAAAAAAGAATAGACAAAAGAAAGAAAGTAAAGTCTCACTTCTATCACTCTTTAAAAGTTTTGGTTTCAGTTTGTGTCAATTTAAAGGTTCAGTCTGAGATGATCTTCATTTTTCTGTGTTTGTGGAAAAGCTGGCGAGTCAGCCGACCCAATTTATGAGCAGGCAAAGCAGGATTCTTGCACTAACCATCGGCGCAATACTGGTCTTTGTTATGAGCCGCAGTTTCAGTGATCTCAGCTGGTGGATCATCATTCACCACGTGACGTGTCACGATCTCTCTCATCTACACCTCAATTTTAGGTGGGGTTTGCAAACCTGTGTGCTTTAAGTTTTTACTCTTCAGCCGTTTGCATTTCCCGTGGTCACAAAAGCTCCTTCCCTGTCATCTGACAGCGGAATACCTTGAGTGATTGACAGCTAATATGAACCAATATAGCGGCAGGGAAGAGCGAATCAGCACGTTTTTACAAAAAATCAAAACAGGTCGCACTACAACCATCTGTAGTCGCACTAATGCGGCCAAATATGTTATGAGGTCGCATAGATTAATTTTCAGGCGCATATGCGACCAAAATGGTCGCAATTTCAGCTTCAAATGTTGTAACAAGCACGTCTGAAATGAGCCCGAATTTCTGTAGATTCAAAACAGTCAGCACGGATATCCCCGCCTCTTAAAGGGCCAGTACTAAATTACAAAGGGCTCAAAAATGGTTCTCTGGCGCCATCTCGTGGACACTCTGACACGCTTTGAGTCTGAATTTTACAAATTTAATATAAAAAAAATATTTATAGGAAAACTGTTATTTATAATTACACCAAATAAATATGATAATTATCTTCAATTTAAAGCACATCTTTTGGCCAAATTTGAGGATTGTATACTTTTTTATATGCCCCAAATACTCGATTGTAATATTTACAATTTTTTAATTAAAAAAATTTTTAATTCAAAAACTACAAATCTTATCGGCATGAGGACATACAGCAACCATCTCATGGGCAATAGACAGCTTTTGACCAAATTTGGGGCTTGTAGCATCTAAGCCCTGGGAGGAGAAGCGATTGCTTTTTTTTGGTCAGAAGCCGGAATAATAATAATAACTAGAACCTAAAGTTCGTTGACGAACTTTGATGTTGGCTTGAGAAAGCCAACGTGACTGCGCCGGGGACTCAAAGGCAGTTGGCAGGAAGCACAGCGGTTGATAAGTGGTTGCTAGGCGGTTGCTAAGGTGTAGCTAAGGCATTCCTAGGTAGTTGCTAGGGTGTTCTGAGTGGTTTCTAGGCTGTTGCTAGGGTCCACTGGACTGTTAATCGGAAGGCCTCATTTACATTTTTGATCAAATCGAGAGAGAGAGAGAGAGAGAGAGAGAGGACTGATTTGTTCAGGTTGTTTAATGCAGATCACTATAGTATAGTTAGTATTTATAGTATATATTATAATCTGAACAAAATTACATTATAATAAATATCATATGAAGAAAAATATTACATTAAAATACTAATGAAACAATAGCACATACATTTAGTTAATTTGTCTTTTATTTAATCAGTCTTATAATTTTTGCAGTTAATATAGAGTACAGTCAATTTACAGTAATTTGCAGCATTATATATATATATATATATATATATATATATATATATATATATATATATATATAAATATAGTTATATATACAGTTTACAGGAAGAAAATCGCATTAAATACAATATTAGGCCGTCTTCATCACGTGGTTAATTCTGACCAATGACGTTGTTCCACCCCACTGGCCACTAACACAATGTTATAATCGTAATATTTAGTTGTCATCACCTGGGTGATTTTATTTTTTTTTTGGTACAGCATAGGCCAAAAGCTTCATTGTCATTATCACAAGTGAGGAGAAGGCTCTTTTGCGACACAGAATATTGTTTTGAAAGAAATATCTGAAGTAAACTTATGTTTTTGCTAACATAAAAGGGGGATTAAGAAATAATCCTTATAACCCTAACCATAAATGTGTGTATGTGTTATATATGTATATATGTATGTATATATATACATACATATATACAGTTGAAGTCAGAATTATTAACCCCCTTTTCATTTTTTTTTTCCCTTTTTTAAATATTTCCCAAATTATGTTTAACAGAGCAAGGAAATTTTCACTGTATGTCTGATAATATTTTTCTTCTTGAGAAAGTCTTATTTGTTTTATTTCGGCTAGAATAAAAGCAGTTATTAATTATTTAAAAACTATTTTTGGGACACAATTATTTGCCCCTTTAAGCTATTTTTTTTTGATAGTCTACAGAACAAACCATCGTTATACAATAACTTGCCTAATTACCCTAACCTGCCTAGTTCACCTTATTAACCTAGTTAAGGCTTTAAATGTCACTTTAAGCTGTATAGAAGTGTCTTGAAAAATATCAAGTCAAATATTATTTACTGTCATCATGGCAAAGATAAAATAAAGAAGTTATTAGAAATGAGTTATTAAAACTATTATGCTTAGAAATGTGCTGAAACAATCTTCCCTCCATTAAACAGAAATTGGGGAAAAAATAAACAGGGGAGCTAATAATTCTGACTTCAATTGTATGTATATATATGTATATACACACACTTTATTTTACCTGTTTGTAAATAATTGTTCTTAACATTTTTGCTTTAAAACATTATAATACTGTTTGGATTTCCCCCCCATAATAATAAATTGTGAACATTGCAGTGTAAATTGCAATCCAGATGTTACAGAGAGAAATTGATGCAGCAACAGCAGAGCATATTAAGGGGATATAAAAAATCTTCATACATTGTATGTATATATATATATATATTCACTATTTTAAAATACATTTTCTTTGCTGTGTGTTTTTATTGGTTATGATGCTGTTTGGATGTTTTATTTTTGCACAATAAATAAAATGTGATTTAAAAAGTGCAAACATTGTCTTTGTTAGAATTTACACGTGATTACAACGGTATAAAGACGTTCAGGTCCGACCGGACCGAATGGAAAGAAATTGTAAAAGGTGCAAAGGTGCAGTAAACTCAATTCCAAAGGGCTCAAAAATAGTCTTCTGGCGCCATCTCGTGGACACTCTGACAAGCTTTAGGTTTGAAATTAACAAATTTAATATAAAAAAAATATTTATAGGAAAACTGTTATTTATAATTACACCAAATAAATATGATAATTATCTTCAATTTAAAGCACATCTTTTGGCCAAATTTGAGGATTGTATACTTTTTTATATGCCCCAAATACTCGATTGTAATATTTACAATTTTTTAATTCAAAAAATTTTTAATTCAAAAACTACAAATCTTATCGGCATGAGGACATACAGCAACCATCTCATGGGCAATAGACAGCTTTTGACCAAATTTGGGGCTTGTAGCATCTAAGCCCTGGGAGGAGAAGCGATTGCTTTTTTTTGGTCAGAAGCCGGAATAATAATAATAATAATAAGAATAAGTTTAAGTAGCATTACAGTATGTTGGCTTTCTCAAGCCAACATAATAATAATAATAATAATAATAATAAGAATAAGTTTAAGTAGCATTACAGTATGTTGGCTTTCTCAAGCCAACATAATAAATATCAGTTCTGCATGTTAGTTATAGGAATCTGTAACAAATATGCAGATTTCCACTGGTTTTTGAGCCCATCATTTAATCTATTGATTAATTTATGCAGGTGTGTGTCAATATGTTTCTTCCACTGAAATATTTTCTGTCTTTCAGTAGAGAAATGAGACTTATTTTGACTGGATCTGATTAGATTTACTTTGTAAACCTTAAGTATTTTATTTGATGTATTATGTTTTTAGTTGATCTCAAAATCATTTAGCATGCAGTAAATACACAGATACAAACATTCTGTGCAGAAAATGCAAAAACAGATGTCTGCAGAGTGTGTGTGCCCCCCTGGTTATAGGGCAAGCAGACATGCATATTATATTTTCCAGTATCACTCGATCTGTAATCATAAAATCCCAACATGTAAAAATCTTTGTTGTTGTAAGTTAGTGCAGTTCGAAAATGTCTTTTGAACGCAATGAATATGGCAAGAGTAGCTAGATTAGTGTTAGATTTGCAACACATTTTATTGTTTGAGTCTGTCCTGGGGCCTGTTTCAGAAAGGAGATTAAGTAAAAACTCAGAGTATTTTAACCCTGAAATGAGTGACACTCTGGGTTTTCTGTTTCAAAACGGCAGGTTTGTCAAACTCGAGAAAGCAGGGTAAGTCTAGCCTGTTTCTGAAAGAGAGGTAACTTTAACTCTGAGTCAGTTACTGTGGTAACTTACTCTGTGAACTTAAACTGGTAAGGAGCAGGTTTTATTCTCTAAACTCAGAGTTTCTGTCAGTCTTCTCCCCTTTTTTTTAAAGACGAAGTGATTATTTCTTGCCTTAGCCTTATGTTTCCACCCAACTATTTTAATGCTCATTTTGGAGATGTGCATAAAAACGATTCATGGAAACGTCATGATGCACAAATTGAAAATGCGCATAAAAAACACACGCATAACCGAGTAGAATGAACTTTTATTCGATAGAAAATATGTGCATAAACTACGATGGACAAAAATATTACTAAACAAATTACAGTATGAACTACTTACAAGTTTAACCTCAGAGTTGGTTGAACCTTCTTACTGAAACAGGCCCCTGATCATTTAATGTTGTTTTTGTTTGTTTGTTTTTTCTTTACAGTTGCGTCGAATGCAGGAGGTTCTGGAAAGGATTCAGGAACAGATGCGTCAAGGACATGAAGATTTACCCATTAATTGAAATGTATTTAGGATGAGATTTCACAAGCTTAACATGGAGGAAACTGAAGTGAATGTATGCTTTTAGCTTTCAGAATCTTTAGAGCTTTGGCTGACAACAGAACCTTTAATGTAAATATGAACAACTGTTGTGGTACATGAGAAATAAGACCAGTACAACTTGACTTGTAAATGTCATAAGATTTATTATGAATCGTCATTGTTTTTGTTTTGTTTTTTTGTAGTAATCTAGCATATTTTTAATAAGTTTATTACTATTTCAGTTAAACATGGTGGACAATTTGAATCTTAATGCAGCCCAAAATGTACAGGCGATATATAACTTAAACTTTCTCCATAGGGAAAATGCACAGTTTGTCATATATTTATATATAATATCAATGTAGAATGAGGTCTAACGGTCCCGCCCACATCATACAGTATGATACATGGTCCCAAAAAATGAAAAAGAGGGAGGGAATAACATTAAAACAAACAAAAACCGCAATCTACATGCAAAACCAGGCATCAGTTTAATCCTAAAATACATACACATATATGTGAATGCGTGCATATATCTCACATATATACATACATCCATACACATATATTCAAATGAAAATAGAAAAACAAAAACACACTGATAAGTTCACAAAGGTTAAGCTTTTCTCTCTCTCTCGTTTGTTTGTGTTTTTAACTGAGTGTGAAGCACAGCATGTATCACTCCCTCTTCACAGACGTCCCCAAAATAAGGGAAAGGAAGTGGAACAGAAAGGTCAAACCTTGGATTTGGGGAGCGTTTGCAGCAGGAAGAGGATGTTAGGAGCAGGAATCACAGTGTTCTGTTTGAAAGTGACAGTATAAAGCAACAACATGGTGTATCCAACCATCCACCCGTCAGGTTTACATAGAGAAACGGTAAGATGGCTAATTTTGTGCAGGTTCAACCAAGCGAGTGCATTCAGAACAACAGGCCATCTTTATAGAGACTTTTCACCCCAAAACTTAAATTTGTTGTTACTTTGCTTAACATTAAACAATCCAATAGGTACAGGTTACTTTTTTTTCCCCTTCTTCAGTAGAACAGTGAAGATTTTTAGCAGAAACTAACTTGGTGACCAACCCCAATTAAACACAACTGAATCAGCTAATCAAGCTCTTTTTAATTACGCTACAAACTTCCAGACAGGGGTGTTGAAGGAAGTTGAGACACTCCAGATCTAAACGATCCGTCTATGGCAGGGGTTTCAAACTCAATTCCTGGAGGGCCGAAGCCCTGCACAGTTTAGTTCCAACCCTGCTCCAACACACTTACCTGTAGGTTTCAAACAAGCTTGAAGGACTCAATTAGTTTGATCAGGTGTGTTTAAGTAGGGTTGGAACTAAACTGTGCAGAGCTTCAGCTCCCAGGAATTGAGTTTGACACCCGTCAAAGACGGATCATTAAGCTCAGGAGTGTCCCTTTTGGAACTGAGTTTGACACCTGTGGTCTATGGCAAGGAAACCAAACATGGTTTACATTACGCATAATAATGTAGGACATACTTTTGTTTACATGTTATTTTGTCAAATTAAATGCCTTAATAACCCTCATTCAATCTCTCATATACACTCACACAGTCTCAACTCACATTCGAGTTTCACTCAGACACAAATCAGCATCCAACAAGCCATGTATGCATTCAGGTGTCTTGCAGTCTAGTTGTATTGCTTCATTAAGACCTCAATGTATCGGCAGGAGCCACAACTATTCATTTAGTTCAGCCTTAAGTATGTATACACTTTCATTTGGACTTCCAAGCTGCAGGTAACTACTGGCTTGATTTGAATGACCACAGTTCAAAAATCAATCGCGTTCGACTGAAGAACAGCCTGATGGTGAGCCACTGACCAGCAAATTTTAATCTTGGGGTGAACTGTCCCTTTAAGAAAAGCCCTGCTATATGTAAAGAGGCTTTATATCCTGATGTCAAGTGTCTGAAACACAAAACCCCAGCATGTTTAACCTCCTAAAATGCCTATAAACAAGCGCCTACTTCACGACAGCTTACACAATCACACATGATAATGGCTGTGCAGAGATGGACACAGAATGAACACGAGAGCACCGATCTACACTGGACAAGTGAAGTAGAGATTAATCCACCTTAACATAGTCTAAGACTTCATTCATTTTCTTTGTGTTGCTACAAGCACGAGAACATTGGTAATGCTGTTGATTTAAAGAAGTGAAACGCTTTGAAACGTTAATCAAGTATTATTACTAAGTGTTGAATATCAGACGCTCTTACTCTGTTATAAATGCTTGAATGTGCACGTTTGCGTACAGGTCTTTTCGTTGATTTGTCTGTTAGTTGAGTTTCCTTGCATCCCGCTGGTCTTTTTCATTAAGAGTGTGTTTGTTTTGCTCCAGCAGAGATGCGCTCAGCTCATGGCAGTTTCAGCAATGTTACTGCAGTGCGTAGGCAGCAGGTGGCGCCACTGGGCTTGATTTGGGGCTTATTAGGCACTTGCATTTGCTCACAAGACACTTTGAGGAACCTGATCTGTCTCAAGTCTGAATGTACCTGTTTCTGATTGAATTCAAGAGCCCCATTTGAAGAGTTTTAAAAGGGAAAACGTACAATTATTTTAACTTCAACGCCTAAAAGTTATTACAGCCAACTTAAAGGGATAGTTCACCCAAAAATTCACATTGTCACATTTACACATCCTTTCATCTGTTGAAGACTAAAGAAGATATTTTGAAGAAAGATAAACACCTCTAACTGTTGACTTCAACAGCAGGAAAAACAAATACTTAGGATGTCAGTAGCTCTATGTTTTTTTACAGCTTTCTTGACAGTATCTTTAGTCTTCAATAAGAAAATTGAATAGCTTTAGCACAAGGTTGAGTAAATAGGTTAATGTTCATTTGTGGGTGAACTGTCTCTTTAAGAATGAAGAAACTCAAAGGTATGGAACCACTTGAGGGTGAGTAAATAGTAGGTTTGTTTCATTTTAAGGTGAACTATCCCTTTAATATATTATTTAGGCTTGACAAGCTTAAGTTAATCCAATGATTTTACACAGCTCTTCCTCCGAATGCTGACCTTTAAGCACTCATATTTGATTTAGCTTTTTTTTTGGTGGTGAATGAATGTGAAGCATTGACATACAGAAAACATGGAGGGTAGAACGGGAAGAATTGATTTGTTTCAGCACTCCACTCTAACATTACACCGACATCTAACGTCTCGGTTAATTTAGACAAGCAAGTGCATGTATTTCATTCCAGCGCTGCATCGGCCGCCACGCGAGCCCTTTCCTCACACGCAGGAGCGACGGCAGTCCATTTCTGAACACAACCCCGTCGCATTTAGCGTGTAGCTCGACGTCTTTTCTGGCTTTGTGAGTCCTGAAGTCTTTGAGCGTGTGTGTTCTCTCAGGCCAGCTTCAGCGTGCTCACTGGAAACGGAGGAACAGTCACCATTGTCACGGGATTGAGCACTGTCTGACCCACCAGCCCTGGGTGATGGTGTGCCACCACGGCTGTTGGTTTTCCTACAACGGTGGCCTGTTGGCCTGTGACCGGCGTGCCGTTGACCTGTGCGTGTGGATGGTGCGCCAGTGTGTGCGTGATGTGCCCCACCACCGCCGGCTGGGAAACAGCCACCGACTGCGGGTACAGATGCGCAACAGGATGCACAGTGATGTGTCCGATTGGCTGGCCGCCGTTAGAGGGCGCTATGTGTGCCAGGTGCTTTGGTCCAGCGTGGATGACGGAGGCGTGGGACACTGAGGCGTGGGTGATGACTGTGGGTTGTGGAGGGGACACGACGTGGGACGGGGGCGCAGGAGCGATGGCCTGAGGGGTGAGGACCGCTGGTTGGGGTGGAGCGGAGGGTGGCGGGACGGGTTTGTGCTGTATGGAGATGTGTGTGGGGAGGATGGAGGGAGGAGGCATGGCTGCACGGGGCTCTGCTGGCAGCGGGACAGGAGGTTTGGGTGCAGCAGACGGGGGTGGAGAGGACAGCATGTCGTCTTCAGGGTCTTGGCTAAAGTTGTCTTCACCTTCTGAAAAGAGGATCAAAGTGATTAGATTTGATGTTGTCTAAGTCATTCAGAAGTATTAGTCAGTGTGTATGAAATAATACTGTAGGTTTAAGGACAAATGGCCTGATTACAGACAAAAAATATTTAATTAACACTTTAATAAAATGGGAATGGTTGGAGATATTAACATCCTGTTTGTGGCACATTGGTATTTGTGAGGGGGCAAACTTTTCGAGATGGGTGGTGACCAGGGTGGCCATTTTGAAGTCGGCCATCTCGGATCCAACTTTTGTTTTTTCATTAGAAAGAGGGTCATTTGACACATTAAACTAATTGGGAATTTCACAAGAAAAACAATGGTGTGCTTCTAAAGGCTGATTTATACTTCTACGTCAAGCGCACGCTTATGTTACGGCGCAGCCTAGGAGTTGAAGCTTAGCCCTACGCCGTGGCCGTCAGCATCGCTGACACACACATCTCAACAAAGTATAACTACACGTCGCAACGACATGTAGCGCAAGCTCTGTGATTGGTCAGCTTGGTAGCGCTGATGAGTCTGGGTGGGACCGAGAGCCGTGAGAGCGGCGCGAGCCCGATGGAGTGATTGTTTACAAGTGTGGAGTGCCATGAAGGAGCTCTGTATGGAAAGTTTTGTTTTGTGTTTACTAGGGATGCAACAATACAGTTAGCCCATGGTTCAATACATACCTTGGTTTTTTACCACGGTTTTCGGTTCGGTTTGGTTCTTATGGCTTGACACGTGTTTTTTTATTTTTTTTATTCTATAGGCAATAGGAACAGTAAGAGGTTAAAATAAAACTATTTATTGCAATACGTTTGTATTGCAATTAAAAAAAATTTTATATATTGATGTATTGTATACAAAAAATTAACACTGAAATCTTACAGCTGCTGGTAGCCCATGTACAAACAGGGGAACACATAAAATCCTACACTTTGAAAATAAACATACATGTGAAGTTAATAAAGATAAATTGGTAATTTCAAGTAAACATATTTGTACTTAAGTAAACATAAAGAAACCATCTCAATTATCTCGGTGCTGAAAAAATGCGAGACTGTAGTCCAGGGCTATTCAATCGACGGCCCACGGGCCGAACCCAGCCCCCGGGGCAATTTGTTCTGGCCCTTCAAATAGTGTGGCCAAGCGATAAAAATAAATTTAGTTCAGTCGAAAAACGCTACAGCTATGAAGTGTTGTGCATCTGTTCAATTCAGTATGAGCTGCAGAGGATGCGCAGAGCGTGAGTCAACATAAGCGAGTGGATATGTTTTGTAGAAAATGTCTTTTGTACAATGCACTGTAATCATTAATAAGGATGCAACAATTAGCTGATTTCACTATTAACTGCTCTTTAATTCGTCACAGTTAATTAATCGTAAAGGCTTCTCTAAGCCGCATTTCTGTTGCACGGAAAAGTTATGACAAGTTGCCAACTGTGCGCTAGTTTAAAGTTCCAAGTATGTACACCGAGGCTAATACGCACGAACACCAGATTAACTACAGCAGCGGCTGTTCCCATATCACCATTTTTCCGCTTGCAAGTTTGTTATTTAACAATATGTTATTTAATGTAAGAATGACAATATGCGCACAAGCTGAGCAACGCGCTAGCCTCTGTCCGGGCGCACGCAGTAGAAAACATCTCACGGTGAGAGTTGTGCATACCTTTCAGTGCAATGTAAAGCGCCCCCTAACTTTAGAGCATAGTGATTGGATATTTACTCGTGGGGAGGAGTTTCCTTGTCTCAGCTCTTGGACTTACAGGCACACACAGTCAATTCGGGGAGATATACCACGCACATAAATTATTTAAACGCAAAACCAAGCAGTTTAACCGCAATTCACAAGCGGGTATTGAACCGTGGAGGTTGTACCGAACGGTTCAATATTATATTGAGAACCATGGCATCCCTTGTGTTAACCTTATAGTTAAAGTTGTTGCACGTCTGCTGTCTCTTGCCTCAAAATGAGCGAGTTTGAGCCACTTGTACATTCAGGAAGCGTTCAGAAAAAACAAAACAGCAGCGAAGAAACTCGACACAGAGGAACATTTACACCTCACTGCCCACTAGTGTTTTGGAAGTGTTAATGCAGACTAACAGAGACAGCGCGCAGAAGTATAAATGCACAGCTACGCGCGTTGCATGCACCGTGGGTTTACGCCGGTCACTTGATGCAGAAGTATAAACCAGGCTTAACTGGTGAAGAACATGATCTAGTAGGTCTCTGTGTAATATTATTACATTTTAACACAATTGTATCATCAATGCTGAAGACAGTAGATCACTTATTTGTGTGTGTGTTGTACCTGAAGCTGTAGATGTAGAGGCCTGGTCATCTTCAGGCTGGACAGTCTGTCTCAGTATCCTGTTGATCTCTATGATGTCGATACACTGGCTCAGCTCGTTCTTCAGCTCTGCCAGTCTCTGCTGCGTGGCGATCTTCTCCCGGGCCAAACGCTCCATCTCGTGCTCGTACTCCTTCTCCTTACGCTTCAGAGTCTGCAGGAAACCAGATGGACAGGACTTTAATTCTGACTCATATTTATTCCCGACACACGCACATGCTTATCCTCCCTCAGTCAAACACACCGTCATTTCAGCGTGACGCATCTCTCAGTTGCCTGACGGTCTGAACGTCAGTAAACGCTTTCATTAATGAAAGGTAAATGCAAACACACACACTGCTGCAGATAATGGCATGAGGAAAACTGCATCTGACAGCTCATGAGTTTAATAGTAAAGCAGAGTCTGTCGAACTGTTTATCCCCCTAATCTAATAGTGTTGTTTTAATAAAATGAATATAGCAGTGTATCTGTAGAATTAAAATGTCAAATCAAATGTCATTGACCCCAACGGAAAGCATATCCACGCTGTCTGAATCATTTGTCCCCATATACAGTGCTTATATAAGAGTCACCAACAGAAAACTGTGACTGATTTCACCATCTTTTATAGTGTAGGGGTGGCATGCTTTAGTTTCTAGAGTGCGTTTGATTGGACGGATAATCTGATGAGACGCTTAAGTGCAGAGTGATGTCATCAAAATCACTGATCCATTTTAGTAGAAGAGAGAAAGCCATTATTATACATTTAATGTAAGATTTCACACTTTAAAGCGGGTGTATTCACATCAGTTCACTTTCTGTGGTTCAGACCAAACACAATGTGATGTTTTTTCATCTCTGGTGTGGTTTGCTTTTACATGGCTCTTTTTGCAAGGATTCCAGTAGTTGTAAACAAAACCACACATGCGTGTTAGGGCCTAATCACACTATGCCATCTTTACCGTGCCCAGGCCCGTTTCCCGGATCGTTTGAGAAGTGTGAGTGCGCTAAATCGGGCTTAAGCACGGTTCACTTGGCCGGCCCTGGCCCGGTTGGAAGAGGTGTGCCTGAGCGCGGTTCACTAGGGCTTTGGCACGGTACGCTTGTGTGTGAGTGCAAAACGCGCCAAAGCTGTTTCATATGGATTTATTAATCATTCTTACTGTTCAGTGAACGCAAACTGCCGTAGTTTATTAAAGACGAGAACTCCTCACAGAACGACAGCTGCGCGCCTTCAGCAGACCTCCTCATTCCTGCAGCACGAGAGCTTTATGATTGTTTATGAGCGCCAAAAGTGGCGGATCTGTTCGGCGAAATATTTGACTGCATGTCACCGCATCCCTAAGGACTGTTTGGCAATACATTTGACTGCATGTCACTGCATAACAAACTGACTGAAACGATATAGAGAAATCTCCACTGAGCTGCTGAGTGAGAGAGCGCTTCTCACTGAACAGCACAGCAGCGATGACGTAAGCGTGCCCAGGCCCGTTGTGAGTACGGCCTTAAAGTCAGCTGTTTATTGGACAGAACTGCTCGTGCTCCCATGATGTGGTGTCTGCTGTTCCATCATCTAAAAAACAAACATTTGCCTGAGCTCTGAAGCCTCCTTTCCACTGCACACGACATTTAGACACGACTGTCAAAATACGCCCCCTTGTGGCAGTCGCACAAAATTTTCAGTTCTGACGTGCACCATGGGAGAGAAGCTGTTCTTGCAGTGTCTGAAATAAAGGACTGCAAAAGCGAGAGCCATTAATCTTTGCTTTACAGTGGTTGAATGAATGAATGAATGAATGAATGAATACTAGAAACTCATAGATCGCTAAAAATATTGGAGGGAATGTGAAGACAAAAATAAAAATATATATTTTAATTTTTATAACTAATGTTTTTTTTTTGTTAATATAGACTTTTTCTGATTCAAAAAATAACCCAAAAAACGACTATTTCTCATCTCGTGCGCACAGACCTGCTTATATAACACTGGAATACATCACATCCGGTCGGCCAGTCGCATATGGTCTAGTCCAGGGGTGGGCAAACTTGGTCCTGGAGGGCCGGTGTCCTGCACAATTTTGCTCCAACTCTAATCACACACACCTGCTTATAGATATCTAGTGATCTTAAAGACACTGATTAGCATGTTCAGGTGTGTTTGATTAGTGTTGCAGCTAAATTGTGCAGGACACCGGCCCTCCAGGGCCGAGATTGCCCACCCCTGGTCTAGTCGGATCCGCAGCTCAATTCAGGTCTGAAGCCTTTTTTCCACTGCACACGACAAGCGACAAGCGACAGACCGGAAGTCATTCATTTCCAATGTAGTACGGGAGCTGCGTTGAGTTCTGATCATCTCCGTATGCGTAAAATTCGGATACGAATTGAGCTGCAGATCCGTTGAAATATTTGAACTCCCGCGACTAGACCGTATGCGACCTGCCGACCGAATATGATGTATTCCAGTGTTGTACAAGCAGATCCGTGCGCGCGAGATGAGAAATAGGAGTTTATTTGGTTATTTTTTGAATTATAAAAAGTCTATATTAAAAAAAAACTTTTCTGTTCATAAATGTAAGGAAGAAAGTAATAAAAATATATATTTTTAATGTTGTCTTCACATTCCCTCCAATATTTTAGCGGTCTATGAGTTTCTAGTATTCATTCATTCATTAAACCATGTGAAGGCACAGAGAATAAAGGCTCTTGCTTTTGCCCTCCTTTATTTCGGACACCATGAGAATCAGCTTCTTCCCCATGGTGCTCGACAACACTGAAAATACTGTGCGACTGCCCCAAGGGGGCGTTTTCCAACAGTCGTGTCCAAATGTCGTGTCCAATTTTTCGCATACGAAGATGATCGGAACTCCACGCAGCTCCCGGACTGCTCTCTATTGGAAATGAAAGACTTCCGGTCTGTCGCTTGTCGTGTGCAGTGGAAAGAAGGCTTGAGGGAGCGTTCACATATTTTGTCTTTTGCTCTCAAGTTTTATTCTAAAATCCAGAAGCTGCGACCATTTATTTATTGTATTGTGACGCACTTCCTAGAAAAGCAGAATAGAGTGGAAAAACTATGACTCCAATTTGTATGCAAAATTGTATCCGGTTTCCTCGTCCCAAAGTCAATAGTTTTTTTTATTAATGGGGTTTGAGTTAAATCGCTTAAATAAGGTTTGGGCTAACACAAACTCAAGATACTTTTACGTTTTGTTCTACGACATAAAACACATCAGTTACAGCACACTCCTGATCTTTTACACCAGTTACGCTGCTTTAAAATGACAGTTGCTATCAAGTTGCTAAATGGGACTAGAGGCGGTGTCGCAAACATAATACGTCATCGAGCTGATCTGGTCTGGAGCGCAGCTTGCTTGCGTTTGGCATTTGGAGTTGTCTGTGATTTAAGTATTTTCATGAATAGCATTTTATAGTTTGTTGTGTTTTTTTAATTGGGATTTCATATTGTGTGTAGATAAATCCTTAACTCAAAACGGCTGTCGAGACAGACTGATTTGTTGATAATTTATTTTAATTAAACGATATTACGAGGATAACGTTACTGCTCACCAGTGCAGCCTGTCTCTTTCCTGCTCTCAGTAATGCAAACATGCGAAGAATTGTGTAAAAATACATGCATGTTAACTCATTTTAACGTGATCAAGTGATTTTAGGTAGTTTTTTTCTTCATCTGAACATGTTTAACTCTGTCATAATTGCAATATTTACACTCCTCCATAAAACGTATAGCAGATGTGACTGTATGAGCTGCTTTTCGCTGTACTCCGTGACAAAAAAGGAAAATTGAAAGTTGCTCTGTGTCCATGATGGAACTTGCAGGCATTTGATAGACTTGTTCCTCACGCCTCATCTGTCGTCTGTTAAGGTAAGCAGGCTGTGTGCACTCGAGCAATACACTTATTTAAATATGTCTATTGATAAGACTATGTAGGCAGATTTATAAACACAGTTTTAAAACTTTTAGAACCGTAAAGCAAAACAAAATTCCCACGTAAAAACGATCCAAAAGTGCACGTAGGTCTATGTGTATTTGCCTATTTATTTGTTTATAATAAGCGTTGATTATAATATAATAAACAGAGAGAATAACTCTTTTTCATGGATGTTTTTAAAAATAAGCTTGATAAGTTATCTGTAGCAGGGTGGTGCTGACGTCAGAGACGAGCGCCCCGAGGGCAGTGTAGTCCATTTATAGCCTAATGTTAGCTTTTCAGTTCTTGCGTTTGCATTTAAGATCCAAAAGTGCTCAAAAATGTATTTTCGTGTGACGATTATCCTGGTCCTGGAGGGCCGGTGTCCTGCACAATTTTGCTCCAACTCTAATCACACACACCTGCTTATAGATATCTAGTGATCTTAAAGACACTGATTAGCATGTTCAGGTGTGTTTGATTAGTGTTGCAGCTAAATTGTGCAGGACACCGGCCCTCCAGGGCCGAGATTGCCCACCCCTGGTCTAGTCGGATCCGCAGCTCAATTCAGGTCTGAAGCCTTTTTTCCACTGCACACGACAAGCGACAAGCGACAGACCGGAAGTCATTCATTTCCAATGTAGTACGGGAGCTGCGTTGAGTTCTGATCATCTCCGTATGCGTAAAATTCGGATACGAATTGAGCTGCAGATCCGTTGAAATATTTGAACTCCCGCGACTAGACCGTATGCGACCTGCCGACCGAATATGATGTATTCCAGTGTTGTACAAGCAGATCCGTGCGCGCGAGATGAGAAATAGGAGTTTATTTGGTTATTTTTTGAATTATAAAAAGTCTATATTAAAAAAAAACTTTTCTGTTCATAAATGTAAGGAAGAAAGTAATAAAAATATATATTTTTAATGTTGTCTTCACATTCCCTCCAATATTTTAGCGGTCTATGAGTTTCTAGTATTCATTCATTCATTAAACCATGTGAAGGCACAGAGAATAAAGGCTCTTGCTTTTGCCCTCCTTTATTTCGGACACCATGAGAATCAGCTTCTTCCCCATGGTGCTCGACAACACTGAAAATACTGTGCGACTGCCCCAAGGGGGCGTTTTCCAACAGTCGTGTCCAAATGTCGTGTCCAATTTTTCGCATACGAAGATGATCGGAACTCCACGCAGCTCCCGGACTGCTCTCTATTGGAAATGAAAGACTTCCGGTCTGTCGCTTGTCGTGT